AAATGCCATATGTCGGTGCCGGGGTGTGGCGGTTAGTACGCCTGCCTCAGAAGCAGAGCGTCCTGGGTTTGATTCCCAAAGGAAACACATACTTGGAATGATGGAACAAGACTCTCTTAAGAAATGTATGGGTGATGGCCACATAATCACAAAGCACCATAGGTTGAGGACGTCGTAAACCGAGGACCCTCTGCGTTATTTAATTATTTGTTAAATAATATTTAGTTTAACTTGAAAATGTGCCACATTTAAGATAGAATTAGCAAAAGTTTGCTAATTCTGTCTTGTGGCACATTTTCTGCTTAATTCTTAGCTTGAACGGCTAGAGCTAATGTGTTCTTGGACTAACTTTTAGCTCACAGGGTCTGACGAGTATCGCTTTTCAAAGAACACTTAAAAAAGACACGGATGTGACGGCAGCTAAGGGAGAACGGCTGCACCTATTCCCTGAGGGACATTTAGACGTTAACTACATTCTATTTTACCAGGACAATAAATGCCCCCGTCATAATAATTGCACAGGCAATTACATATATTTACTGGGCCTTTGTCTGAGCCAAGTCTCATCTCTGACACACAAACAAAAACAGGGTAATTTCCAAGGCTCCAACAGAAGCTACAACACATCATTAAACATGCATGAGGATGGAGGTTGAGGACGTGACGTCAATGTTTAATTTTTGATTTGGCTTAGCCACCAATGGATTAGTGAGCAGCTCTGCAGCCCGCAGACCCACAATCCTCTGCTTTAAACCACCGCTGCGCTTCTGAGTCTATCGAGTGACAACAACAGAGACGCCAAACAGCCACAAAGAGCAGCGAGCCAAAGTGGTTTGTACTCATTTAGTCTCTATCCCCAATCTGCCCGAGTTCTACAGACAATGAAATAATCATGATCTGGATTTTGAAGAACACGAGGAACAAGTGATTTGAGCCGTTCACACATGGAACATCTATCAGCTGAGGTTAATGAGGTTTAATGAGGTTCAAAAAAACCACTACAAGAAAGAAAATATAAAAGAACAGTCAATGAACATCAGCGGCTTTACAGTAGATCAAAGGAGCAGAGGAACTGTCGTCCTATTGTATCTAGCTGTTTCCCCACGACACACCACCAAACAAAATTCTAACAAAAAATATATGTTATAAAATATAATAACCTCCTAGTTTAAATTGAATCAATTCACCATGTCAGCCTGTTTAGTTGAAAATAACTCTGATTTATTTGCAGGAATTGAAGAAAGACATCTTTGACAAAACATCGCCTTCAAAAGCTCTAATTTTGTTTTTTGTTTTTTTTTTGTTTTCATAGCCATATACTGCCACCTAGTGGACCAGTATTCATTTGTTAAACAAAGAAAAACTATGCAATACATGAATAATATTTTTTATATGTTATATTTTATATATATATGTCTATCTATCTATCTAGTGACAAAAAGTGACCACACGGGGCAGCTGTTCCCTTTGGGTGGTTTTGTTTTTTTCTGTTCTCATTATTTACTGAAATTCTTGACCAAATGTATCACTTTGTTCATCCTCACCTTGAAAGAACTATTTGTAGACAACGTTTCAGACAAGATTATGAACTTGAAGCTAGATGGTCAACAGTTGGTTCACTGCTGCCCCCTGTGGTCAGTTTGTGCCCTTGAGATAAATCTGAACAAAGAAGTCCAAACAGTGAAGTCACAAAATAACACAACTCAGTTTACTGATGGAGTCAGCAGTGGATTAAACACTGATGTGTCTTTTCGAGCTGAAACTGTTTTTTTTTTTCTATGGAATTAGAAGTGCTGGGTTTACAAACGGGCTTCTCCCTCATCGTATCTTTTTCTTAGTTATCAACAAGCCTGCGTGCACATGATGCCAGAGGGAGTGTGTGTGTGTGTGTGTGTTAGTATGTTTGGCACACAGATTCAAAGTTTACAGCCTCGTCATTTTTATTTCTGGATTAGAAAACAGTCGCTACACTGAGGGAAAAACTGGATCTATCTGTGACGACGGAGAATTTTTTCCCGAAACTAATTTCCATTTGCATAATGATACAGGATGAAGAAGGAGGAGGGGGCGGGGGGTAAATTTAGGAAGAGATCGGAGGGAAACTTTTAGCGTTAAAATAAAAAAATATTAAGAAAAAAAATAGCATTAAATCAAATGTAACCACTCGATTTTTTTGTTGTTTTTTTTACTTTAAAAACATAATTTACGATATTTAAGAGAAAACATTTAAATATGCTTGAATGTTAGTTTTAACAGAAACCACAGAAGTGGGTTCTCCGATATGACACTGGGCCACGACATGATTCTCCGATACGATGGACCGTCTCGTCCAACTCTTTTTTTCACCGATACGTTATGAAAACATGTAAAAGTCTTTCAGTTTGAGGCCGACAGGAGAGAAAATCTTTGTTTTTGTGAACATAATTACATATTTGTTGTTGTTTTTACTACTAAATAGCCACTGATTACAAAGTGACTCACTTCACTTAGGAGAAAAAAAACAACAAAACAGCGTGATTTCAGCAGCACATCGGTTCTGTCATTTCTTCATCATCCTGGCCCTTTTTTTTCCCTTTAGAACAAAGCAAAACAGAGCCTTTGATCCTCCGCCGCCTCCTCGTTCTCCTCCTCCTCCTCCTCCAGTCGTCCGGCCTACGCTCATAAATATTCATGTGTCTCCAAAGCAGAGGGACTGAAACTGATTTTCACTTTCTGCTGCGATGGAGATTTCTCAGCGCTCCACGACAGCTGGCAAACAAATGGAATCTCGTTTGTCGTTTGGCTCCACTGTTGTTTACAACATCACGACTTTGAAGACGTAAATGTCTTCAGCCTCGACGAGCGAAACATGTTAGGAACAGGATCAACAACTGCCAGAGGAAACGCTGAAACCTATTCCTTCTTTTTCTTTTTTTTACTATTTCGTGACATAATGTTGTTGTGCAGCTGACACCAAAGTCTGGACCGGAATCTTTTTTATCTGGACCAGATTGAGGATTCCAAAATTTTTGAAGGCTGAATTTTGGACATGAAAATTTTATTTGAATAAAATGTAAAATGTAGATCAGAGGTCGCCAACGTGGTCCCTGGGGTCACATGTTAGCCCTGATGGGCAACTTAAGGCACCCGTGGAGTATGTATTAAAAATAAAATTAGTAAAAAAAAAAGACAAAAATTAATTAAGCAAATTAACTAATCAAATTCATTGCATTGCTGTGCTTTTTGAATCACTTACATTTGAAATTATGTTCAAGTTTAGGGGCAATAATGACAGAAGGACGAGTGTCTGCCACTCACAACTTGACAGAGCTGCATTTACGAAATATATATTATTTTTACATTATTTGGGAAATGTGTATCAAACAAGTAGCTTTCGTATTAATCAGTACCCAAGAAGTAGCTCTCAGATTCAAAAAGGTCAGTGACCCCTGCCGTAGAGAACGAAGATTTGAGATGTTCACGAAACAAGGTTAGTTCACCAAAACATCCAAAAATACTATAAAAAAAACATTGTTAGTAGACTGCAGTCTTACAGCGTTTTCCTGTGTACATAAAGAGACAAACTAGTCAGTACAGTGTGTTCACTTAATACATGTTTAAAAATGTATTAGGAACACTGTACGAGTGCAGTAAATACAGAGAGGAGCTGAGAGAGATGAAGGGAACAATGGGATGATTTATGACTCCTCCTGTTCTAATGAACTCTATGCAAACATGCCCTGCAGTAATAAATAATCCACTCTGAACTAAAACACTGTGGAGGAATATATATATATATATATATGTACTGTATATGCACACGAACAGCTTCAGCAGCGCCATCTTAATCGACTTCTTTTACTGACCTACGTAATGGACGGACATAAAAGAGCATCCTCCAACCACAAGGTGGTTCCACAAACGCAGGCGTGACTAAACAAGGCCTGTGGTTTCTCACGTCGGTAAATACACATGGACTTTTATGTGTTCTTAAGAGAAACTGGCAACAGACGAAAAAAAAAGCGTGACGGGAATTATGTCAGAAACGTCGCTGTAACGACTTTAAAGAGCACAGAAAAACCCGGAGAACTGAAAACATTCCAGTTTTCATCCAAGGATTTAGAAGCTACTCCAACATGGAGATACGAATTTGAGTCATTTCATAAAAGAGGAAAAACATTATGTTAAAGATATTTTAAAAAAAATATTTGAGGAACGTTGAGTTATTTTTTCCTTATTATTCTCTATTCTCTATTGTTTATTCACGTTTAATCACGATTAATCACGATGAATCATTCTAATCGCGATGAATCACGATTCATCGTGATTCATACACAGCTGCCCTGTCACAAAAAAACAATTTAGCAGATAATCGAGCCTAGATTGCGTTGCCCCTTCTGAACGTCTACTGTATCTTATGGGGATGACTGTGGGACCACAGACAGACAGATCCTATCAGCCTGCAGACGGTGTGTTTCTGCTCTTTCTTCTTTGACCAGAACTAAAGTCTATTTATAAAACAGAGATAACGCAGGTCTGTACTAGAGGCACCAGGCGCTGTGACGAACTGAAGCAGCTCTGACACGCTGCAGTGTGAAAGGCTAGTCATGCCATGGAGAAATATTGTTCCAAACCATTTTTTTTTTTTTTTCCCACCAGACTGGTTTCGCTGAGAGGGAACTAATAAAGACTTCTGGTTTCAGAAATGTCTCATCTCACTTCAGCGGGAGATCCAGTCAGAGGTGATCCACTTCCTCTGAGCTTCAGAGCCAAATCTGGGAGATGATACAGGATTTACTAAACATGAGGTTTTTGGATCAAGGTTATTTCAGCAGCTTTGATCTGAGAGGAGTTCAGGTAAAGATGGAGATGAACATCCTTACAGGAAAACTGTGTGTGTGTGTGTGTGTGTGTGTGTGTATAAGTGTGTGTGTGTGTGAAACCGATGAGTCAAAAACATTTCAAGCCAATTTATTTTGACATTTTATACGGAATGTAATTTCAGTCAAAAGAATTCCGATGGCATTTCAGCCATTCATTACTAGAACTATCATAAATATGTGAAACACTGACCAAGGGAGATTTTTGTCATTTATTTTTATTTATGTAGCCTTTGAATGCAAAAATGTAAAAAAAAAAATATGTGGGCTATAAAATCTGAACGATTAAGTTCAAACCTTTGGGAAAGCTATTCTGGATTCTTTTTTTCTTTCGGGGACATTTCACAGGTCACGAGGGAACTTTGACGTCCACTTTGGTGATAAATTAGTCTGAGCTAAAAGTTCAAGAAAAAACAAAAATCTGACTCGATAAAGGTAAATACAGGGCGACCTCGGTTTGTGTCGTCCTCGACCTACGACATTTCTCCATATGTCGCTGTACCCGCTACGTACAAATGTATTAAAGTCTCATCAAATCTAAATCAAACCAATCTGACAAGGAAATGTGCTCTGCTGCCATTCGCCGTTTGTACGCCATATTTATCTGTGCTGTCAGTGTTAAAATCAACCTTTTTTTTTAACAGAATATTTTTAGCGTGGACTCCATTGCTGTTCGCAGCGACGAACCTACAGTAACTACAGCAACAACTGACATGCCCTTAAAATATATTTTTTTGGCTGTTTTTCTGTTAACTATTGATTCTTTCCTTTTCAGCTTCCTGCGTTTTGCGAACGTCTGTCTTTCCTCAGGCCGATTCCTTACGCTCACCTGCCACACTTCTGACCTTTTCTCTCTGAGGATGAAAGGTCAGGTTTTGTTTCTATTGTTAAAATTCAATGAAAAAAAAAATAGTGTTTTCTTGCAGAAACGTCCCACATGTAAATAAAAAGAAAAAGAAATGCTTACATGATGTACTGGGCATCGATGTCTCTGTGTACGTTTTATTGTCTTCAACAAAAATCTCTTAAGGATATTGGAGATATTACTATCAGAGAAATGACAATGCACTGTATTACTGTATTGACACCAACTGGCCACAGGGGGCAGCATTAGCCCGCTGGCTACCGTATCTTTTTGTGTCTTGTGTGGATTTCTTTGACGAACCTTTCTTCACTATTTTAAGATATATTTATCACAAAACCTGAACCCGTTATCGTTATTCTTAGACTGTATAGATATCTCACGTAGCAACGCGAAAAAAAATTTTTTTTTCAAAAGTAGAGAAGTTCCTTCTCTAATTAAGTGATGATGTCACTAACAACTTGTCATAAAAGTAGGAAGTCATAAATGCCCCTGTATAGACTCGTTAGCGTTGAGGTCGTTTCAAACAAATAATGGCAAAATTGTTAGCAACATAGACACAGCGCCTACCTGGTGGCAGATCTCGTGAACAACCACCATGGTCAACTCCATCTGGTACGACGAGGACGACACCTCAGCATCCAGCAGGATCTTCTGCTCCACAAAGACGCTGAGGCCCCAGTTCTCCATGGCAGCGTAGGGATGTTTGGGCACGGCTAACAAGTCTGAGATGAAACACACAGACATAAAGATCAGAACATGGTGAATTCTTTTTAACACACACTGGTGGTTCTAACATCAACTGCTCATTCACAAACCCTCAACTCTTTCCAGAGAGTCGGCTGTTTGAAAAGGGAGGGGAAAAAAAAGTAGCAGTGCCTCTGACAGAATGACTGCAAATCCCATTTTAAGCCTAAAATTAAAGCTATGAGTCATTTTAACAACCTGCCAGTGATTCCTTTTATCCTCGCATCATGGATATAAGGAGTTTCTCAGAGATAACTCCTCATACGTCTGTAGATGAGGCAGAAATGGAGAAAGTTAAATAGAGAAAAAGGAGGGGAAAAAGGAGTTTACCTTCAGCCCTGATGATTTATGAGCAGATGCGAGCAAAAGCAATTAAGAGTTGGTGTGCAGTGGTGGGGAAAAGTGGAGTCATCGACATAAAGTAAGAGTCAAGGAGTCTTAATTAACTGGTTAAATGTGAAAAGTTTTAGCAGTTATATGGTTTTGTGATGACTTGTGTTTATAGGGAGAAAAAGTGGTGGAAAAAAGTTTCTTAGCGATGATTAATCGGCTCTACACTGGGGTATTTCTTGTGCTGCAACAGGCTGCCCCTTGGAGGCACTGTGGTTCCTCTGGGACTCAAACCCAGGACCTTCCGCATGTAAGGCAGACATGATTATCGATACAATACGAAACCACAAACACTTCAACACTCATTCCGAGTCACAAAAAAAGTCGATTATCAGCTCGAAGTTGGTCTCGAAAATATATAAATTGAAAGAAAACAGCATGAAGCAAGGTCACGTCAAAAAAAAGAGTAAAATAAAATAGTAAATTAAAGACAAATTTGGAAAGAAAGCTAAATGCTAATCAGGTAGCGAACTGAAAAAGTCAACTAAAGAAACAAACAGCCATGAATCAGACACTGGAACAAATTAAGAGATAAAAAATAAATAAAGACAGTGTCACGTTAAGGCCGAGTGGTTTTGAAACAGAATGAAAATAGAATTAAATTTAAACCTGGGCAGAAGGGTCCGTTTGCCTACTGAGATGACAGTGGATTATTAAGAAGGAGAACGGGATGGAAATGATCTTCTCTCACTCTGACACAAAGATAAGGTTTGTCTTTAAATATTAACAACACAAAGGAGATTATTTCACTTCGTCTTCACTGACTCCTCAGCTGCCGCGGACTTCCTCAGTGACAGACGGTGGAAATATTTAGCAGAATCTTTCTATTTTGTCTGTTCCAAAAAAATTATAGTAATCTAAAATTCGGTGGCCCAAAGTAATTGGAATATTTTACAGCAGGAACATTAAAAAAACTTTTATTCATACGATTTCAGGTGATATTTGACACAAAAAAAAAAAAGATGGCAGTTTGAGGTGTCATGTTACACCTTACTGTAGGAGGGTGAGAGTCGGTGTGAACGTGTCAATCATATGTACAGAAAAAAGCTTTTAGTGCTGAGTCGGACAGCTGTCGCTGTGTGTCGTAGCGGAGTTAGCGATGATGATAACAGCAGGAGGTGGAAGGCAGGTGGCGTCTCGGAACCTCTGGAAAAATTGGAAATAAAAGCGAAGGGCGCAGAAAGAATGATGTTTATATATATATATCAGAGCAGTTTGCGTTCCAAAATATTAGTTACTAATAATAAATAATATAAGTTAACTAATGTTTACTACTATTAAACCTTTTTTTTTGGTTTTTGGTATTGTTATAGCAACATCTTTTCTACCATTTTAGACATTAGAAGTATATTTCAGCACTTTGGTGCAAAATATATATTAAAGTTGTTTCATTTCCAATATTTGGCTTGTGTTTTATTGGGTTTAAAAAAATCGCACAAAGTATCAATATATGGATGAATGAATGGTTGGATGGATGGATGAATGGATGATGGATGGTTGGATGGGTGGGTAGATGGATGGTTGGATGGATGGGTAGATGAATGGTTGGATGGATGGGTAGATGAATGGTTGGATGGATGGTTGGATGGATGGGTAGATGAATGGTTGGATGGATGGGTAGATGAATGGTTGGATGGATGGATAATGGATGGTTGGATGGATGGGTAGATGAATGGTTGGATGGATGGATAATGGATGGTTGGATGGATGGGTAGATGAATGGTTGGATGGATGGATAATGGATGGTTGGATGGATGGGTAGATGAATGGTTGGATGGATGGGTAGATGAATGGTTGGATGGATGGGTAGATGAATGGTTGGATGGATGGTTGGATGGATGGATAATGGATGGATGGATGGGTAGATGAATGGTTGGATGGATGGATTGATACTTTTGTTCTGGGTTTTGGTTGAAGTTAAAGTTGTCCATCAGTCCAAATGTCACTTCTTTTTTTAAGTTGTCAGTCATCAGTCATCAGTCCAAATGTCACTTCTTTTTTTGATGATTTTAATCTGATTTCCCACAGACGTTCTCAGGGGCTTGGTCTCTTCACAGTCTAACAGGTTTCTCTTTTCTCTTCAGAGAACATTCTTAAACTCTTACAGGTCAACTCCAACTACTCTTCCTCAAAGGAAAAAAAGTAAGTAGTTCTCAGAGTAGAAGTGAAAGTGCCTGAAACTAAAACGCACAACAGAGCAGGTTTTGAGTTAAAGAGACAAAAAGTCAAGATTTCCCCAAAAGGCTGAGGTGTAACTTTATGGAGGTGAGGTTCAAAAGTCTCCAAAGACTAAAAGAGAGAAACTCTTTTTTTTTTCTTTTGACTTGTTTCAACTGTTTCATCATTACCAAACAAAGGATCAAAGTCTCCTGAAGGAGCTACAATGTTCAGGACCAAAGAGAAGCTCATTTGAGATGTTACTTAGATCAAGACAGATCAGCTCACTCTGATATCATCAACATGTTTCCATTTTCAAACAGAACGTCCACCTTCTGGTTTAAATGTGGTTGTTTTCTTCTCCATATCCTGACATCTGTAGAAAAGAACGAGTTTTTTCATAACTGAAGTCCGAGGTCATGTGTTGAAAGGTTTGGAAAAGCCTGAAAAACTCCGCGGAGGCTGAAGATAACGAAAGGCCCCGAGGCTCGGAGTTCTTTATCGACGCTCCTAGGCGATCGGGTCCTTTAAGGACATGACCCTCAAATCTGAGGCGGTTTGAGAGACTGGCAGCTCGATACATATATTTTCTGCTGTTTACAACAAGGTTATTAGTCGAATGAAAACGAACAAATAAACCAATACTTAAACTGAAGTTTTTCTTCCGTTAACTGAAATACAAACGATTTTTTTAAAACTTTGATAATTAGCTGAAACTCTTTTGTGTGAAAAAACTTGACTTAAACGTACTGAAAGTAGAGTTTATTTTCTTTGTCTTTTGTCCGTGTCTTTAGCCTATTGGCTATTTTTTAAAATCCAAACGCATCCAACATTCCCTTCAACAACCCAGTCTGTTCTTTTGTACTGATGTTAGCGCCAATGTCTATGACCAATGTCCAATGTCGAGCTCCAATATATGGTCTACAGCATTGTTTCCCAATGACTGGGTCGCAAGAGTTTTTTTTTTGGGGTCGTCTCGCATCATGTTTCCTAGGAGTTTACGGATAATGTCTATTGACTTGGGTCGTGAATGTTTGTGACTTTTGAAATATGGATCCCCAAAAAAAGTTGGTCTTGCTTGTTTCTCCTCCAAATGTCATTTTAGTAAAATCATTGAAAAAAAGGCTCAAAAAAGTTGTTCATGAATGGACTGCTGCTGCTAATGCTAATGCTGCTAATGCTAATGCTGCTAATGCTAATGCTGCTAGTGCTGGTGTGGGTCCACACACTTGAGTCAGGAAGGTCTGATAACTGCCGAGTTTTTACTTCAGAATCACAGTCTACTCTGTGTTCTTCTTCTTCTTCATCTTCTGACACAGTCGTCTGAGTCTTCTGAGCACCCTCGGAGGACATACGCGTCCTCCTGCAGCAGGGGAACAGTTTGTGATGGCACTTCCTTCTTGGACCTGTTGGGAAAAGATTCCCGGGAAGAACAAGCCTTAGTCCATCTGTTGGACACTTTGTTTTCTTCCAGCGTCTTCAGTGACGATCCAAGGTTGGTTGTCACTGGCAGCAAACTGAGCTGAACACTCTTGGTGCAGTCTTCTGTCTTTTGCATCCATTCCTTTGGGATTATGAGAAATTCCCAAGCCAAAGAGGATTTACAGTTTGAACCCCGCAGGGAGTTTTGGATCTCTACCAGGTTTCTTCTGGCAGGATGTGATTAGAAAACCTCCAGTGGAAGTCAAACAGAAAATAGTGGCATCAGACCACGGGAGCAAACACAAATGAAATTTGAAAGAAAATTCTATGTAACAACAGTTTCTTTATGTATAATTTATGTATCATACAAATATATATATGGTTTTCGACAATGCTACCTACGCTAACACAGTAGTAAGATCATAATCTAGGACATTAAAACATCAGAAGAGTCTAATGTCTCACACAAAAAGTCCCCCCAAAAAAACAACATAAACAAAAGGAAAGCAATGTATGGCGTACAATTGGCGAAGGTAAACAAAGGTGTCTTCTGCGTATAGCTTCAGGATGTATACAACTGCTCAGCTCACCAATAATTTTGGTAGAAAATTTGTACGTCAGCATGATGAAACAAGACTTCCTTAACACATTTAAGGAAGTCTTGGAGAGCCACGGAAACAATGTAGGTCGTTATATATGTTTATGTAGCGTATTTTCGAACTAAAAGTTGCACTTTATTTTCATCCTTTGGCTGGGTTTACGACTTATACTCAGGTGCGACTTATATAATGAAATATATAATTTCATGTTTGTTATGTTCACATTGACAGCAGCTAGAGGGCACTCCAGGATTGTGTACGAGCATCTGCTACCCCTGTACCACTGAAGATTTACATGTCCGTTATTTTCACACTGAGAGCCACTAGAGGGCACTGGTGTAACCTATACTCTAGAACTAGTATATATGTTATATATGTATATTTTTCTGCTTCATTATGCTTTTTTTTGG